GCTGAAAAGGGGAGTAATGAAGCAGCTTGATGGGCACCTGGCATCAGCCAAGGTCAATCCACCACAGAAGTTTATGAAATTGTACAGAATAAACTTCAGAGAGAACTCTTCCAACAATCAAGCCATCAATTTTAAAGCTTTAACTTCTTCTGCCACTGTAGCTTTACTTTCACATATGCACTGACTTAATTTTGCTACAACTACAGATCTCAGAATCAATTTTCTGTTTCAGCAACTGAGATGGTTTTCACCTCACTTCAGGCAAACCAGTGAGCTAGCAACTATAGAGACAAAAATATCAACAGGCTTATATCTTGCAATTAGGTATAAACAAAACCAACTCTCCACCCCATTAGAACAGAAAAATGAATAGACTGAAAATATCAAAACAAAATGTGAAATAAAAGTTTTAAAATGTTCACATTAATGACATAGGCCATTCTTTAAAATAAATTTGGCTCAGAAAAATAAGCAAATATATTGGTAGGCCCTTACTGAAAGGGGACTGATTCCTTTTCAAATTGCAGCTGTGATTATCTGAGAAAATCTGTGTAAGTATTTTCGTACTGATCTCAGTAGTCCTGAGGACTAATATGTCAAAATATTTACAAAATATATAAACCAGGCAGTTTCACAGGAACACTTATAAAACAAGGAAAAAAAAAAAACAGATGTTCTGGGTTTTATACATATACTTTGACAAGTATTCTGAAAAGTCTTGTGATGATCTTAACTTAGTTTTCATTTGTATCTGATAACTGACTTAAGATATTAAATGCCTCTAGTAAGTTCTTAAGTCTCTTCTTGTAACTTTTCTTACTCAGCATCTTTAATAATCTATTTTTCTAAACACCATTTTCCAGATTTTCACTTTTTACAATAGTAGCACAGATCATTAACACAGGGAATTACAGTGGAATTTTGATCTTTGAAAAGCTGAAGTTGCAAAGCTGTAGCTTCTGAAGTTACAGAAGATAAAATAAAAAGGAAAATAAGCAACTACAACAGACTAATGCATTTTAAATGAAACAGGCACTGAAGATCACTGGCAATATTTTTAGTGCTCCAGCTCTGAACATTTTTATCTTTTATCTGTTTATTATGTCTACACTGGCACAAAAAATACCAGGATCAAACAGGACAGGTGTAAATATCTGTACTTATAGGTCTCAAATGACTACAAAAATGGGGTTTGGAGTTTATAACACTACTCTCTACATTCACAACTCACAGAAAATCATTTTTTTACCTGAACAATGAAAAGGCAGTGTTTCCAGATGCACAACTCTGGTTTTACACTGTAGAACTGAATCTCCACTCACAACAGTTTTGCTCCTGTATGTTTTTCAGCAATACAGACTACCAGGTGCTGACAGGCAAGGCTGAGGCGAGCCTGTGCTCCCATTACATGAATCTCACATGCCACCTCTGCACAGAGCTCAAGAGAGGTGACAAGGACAAAGTTTGTGCAATGTTGTAATGATGCCTTTGTTCAGTAATGGCATCTTAGCCATGCCATGCTGAAACCAGACAGCACAAACTGAGGCTAATCTAGCAGTGGATCACCTATGAATCCCAGCTATCAAGTACAACTCCAGTACAGCCCAAGGGTTCACAGTTGCCAGTCAAAACAAACAAACAAACAAACCACGCCAAAAAAAACCACGCACAAAAAACCAAAAAAGCAAGTATGATCTGAAACCTCTTATTAGGCCCTACTGCTATCATGAAATGGTTAAGGAAAGTCAACTCACAGATATCACCAGATGCCACACAGTAGGTCTTCCAGATTGTTAGAAACTTTAATGAAAACTGTATCCAGAAATATTGTAATCCTCTGCATAAAAACATGCAACTTCCCCATAAGAGACAAGAGTATATTAAAGACCTCTGATAAGTTATCAAAGCTTCCATGTGAACACACTCAGTGTAAATTGCATTCCTAAAAGCTATGCATTTCAAACATTTTCCAGCTAGCTCACTTTACAGGCTCTTCAGGAATAAGATTTTTGTCCCCAAACACATTCTAACCTTCAGTAAAAGAAATATTCTAAAAAAATCAGTAGTGACACAAACAGAAATATTTTTCTCCCCATCCATCAGAATCTCAAGATTGCTACCAGCACATCTTCAACTACAGAAGAAAAGCATTCAACCAGGAAACCGTTTTGCCTTATCTGAAGATGATCTATCCCTTCTACCAGGTTGCACCTACACATAAATCTGCACTAGTTTAAACTTTTAGTAAACACAAGTAAAATCAACTTCATTTTACAGTGATGTAAAAATCCTGGTTTCAGTTAAACTATTATCCTGGTTTGAGCTAGAATAGAACCAATTCTGTTCAGCAACTTCACTTTTCAGCTCAGTCTCTTCTACCTGCACTTTCTGAAGTCAAGAGCAGATTTTTGCAGCGTTGGCTTCTAGGACTCTACTTGATGTTCAGTCCCTACCAAGGGCTGGTGTACAGAACAGCTCTTGCTTATACCTGATCCTGTGCAGACCAAGGTCACTGCTAAATCTTGAGTGCCACATTGGAGGTACAGTAAGTATGAGGCCACACCTGCAGGGAGGTGTGGATGGGACAGGTGACCCTAAACTGACCCACAAGGTGTTCCATCCTATGTATGTCATAGTCAGTATGAAGCTGAGGGATTGTGAGGGTCAAGCTCTTTTTCAATGTCTGGCATCCAAGGGGGACTCTAACCACTCTGCCTTCAATCCCAATCTGTGTCATCCTGAATCCAGTTCCAGAATCCAGCTCCCAAATCCAGTTCCCATCTGCCATGGAGCCAACTCTGGGACTTCCCCAGTGCCTGCCCACAGCATCAGTGGTGATGGTGATGTAACTGCCATCAGCAGGGTTAGGTTCAATGTTGATTTTGCATACATTTCATTTTACTGTTATTTTCATTAAAGCCCCTTCAGTTCTCTTTTCCAATTTGTAAGTTTGTCTCCCTCATTCCGTTTCTCTTCTCCTTTGGGAAGGAAAAGGGGTTAACAGAGAGCATTTGTCATTTGTCTAGTGACCAGCCCAGCCCTAACCTTTGACAGCTATCTATAAATTTGCATGTACTTGCAAAAGCTTCTTTAAATAAAGCAGTGATTTACAGGAACCTGTTGGCCAGACCTGAAGTCTAAAGTCTTTCTTCCCAAGATCCTAGAAAGAAATAGTTGTTCTCTTCACACATGTAATCTAAGAGATGTATTGGTTCAAGCAAACGCGAGTTGCCTGGACCTCCTTGCCCCATGTTGTCCCTTCTGTAGGGGACTCAGTACCTCCCCAGTGAACTCAAGCTGTGGAGAAGACAAAAGGCTGAAAGGCAGCTTTTTTCTCCAACTAACTTGTTTTCCCAACAATAGTGGCTTCTTGATCTGTTCAGTAGTTTGTGTCAGTAACCTGATGGCTAAACTGACAATCCAAACAGCTTCATTAAAGTGCTACTTGGGAAGAGACTAGAGAACAGAGATGGAGCTGTACATAAAACTCAGGAGACAGTCCTAAAACCAAAGTTTACGTTCAAGGAATCATAGAATGCTTCAAGTTGGAAGGGACCTCAAAAAGTCATATAGTCCAACCTCCCTGCAGTGAGCAGAGGCATCTCCAACGAGGTCAGATTGCTCGGAGCCCCATCAAGTCTGATGGGAGTTGCTTACTGTCTCAGAAGAACTGCAAGGTAATTGAACAGCATTACATAGTTCAGTTTATGGCCTTCATTCTCTACAATTAAGCAGACTTTAAGACTCCATGGCTTCAAAACCTCTATAAATACCAGTTTTTCTTAGAGCATCCATTTTTTTTTATGCTGAGCTTTGGGGTTCACTTTTTCCAAGAATAAATGATAAGCACTTAGGGGGTATGGTACACACAGCATTGCAACTAAGCCGTTCCAGAAGTGCCTGGCTGTAAGTCCATCTTGATTGAAGTTCAGTCAAAGCACTGCATCTCCTCAGAAGCGCTTGTGTAAACTGGGGTACTTCAGTGCACTTTACTAGCCACTAGGCTAATTGATCAGGGCAAAACCAATTGGGTTTTCTTAGCCATGAGTGCTTTGTTGTCATGTTCCTGGCTCTTCTTTCTTCACAGAAGCTCCTACACTCACATAACTCAGGCATTAAAGAGGAGGGGAAAAGTGACAGAGATGAGTCCACAGCAACATGTAATGACACAAGCAGAATTCCCAAAAGGTCTGAAAATGCTGAAAGGCTTCTCCTTGATCCTGCTCACATTCAGCCAGCAGAAGTTACAATGAGCAAACCGAAATCACATACTTGATGGAAAAGAACAGTGAAATTGGGATCAATGGCATAAGAACTGTCAAAAAAAAAAATCATATTTTCTACATACACATTTATCAGTGCAGTTGTTTAACAACGATGTATTACCTAAAAGACCAAATGCAGATGACACATACCTGTATCTTAAAAAGCATTTACCTCACCAAAACAGACTAAAACAAATTCCAAATAAAGACAATCCAGTAGCAGTCAATACCTGCTTTTCTATGTCTGAAAGTAGTAAAAATGTTTTTGATAAAATTATATACATCTAATAATGTTACATTTTATTCCAACCTACAAAACCAGCAGTTAGTGTAGTAATTGCTAACATGAAATCACAATTAAAGGTAAATTCACTAGAAATCTGTTAAATATGTACCCCATTCAACCAAAAAAACCCAATAGGACTGCTTAACACAAACAAAATGGACACACCCAAACCAACATTTAAGTTTCCACTTCTGAGTATCAGGGACAACAATTCTCCTTAAATCCATGAAGGGGCCTTTCTGAGAACAGAAGTTGCTTTGTCCACACCAAGAATATTTGATAGTAGGACAGCTACCATCAGCAAATTCCCCTCCTGCCTCTTCATGAACACAATTTAGCTGCTGATGTACTTTAGCTCCTTGGGTGTACTTTGTCACATTCTCACTTGAATATATGCCAGAAATGGATCTTTTCCATGGTAACAAATCTTTGCAAGTTACAGAAACTTACTACAGTGGAAGTCTTTTTTTCTCCTACACTATCAGAAAGCAAGTGGCACAGAATCTATGCTTTGGTACCTTTGCTATCCCCAGGGACAGTCTTGAGTACAGAAACTTCTATTAAAAGGTGCAAAAGGCCTAAACCACTTACCATCAAAGAAGCACTTTTTTCTACTGTTTAAAACTATTATTCTTTACTACACCAAAAGGCTACTCAGAGGAAACCAGTTTTAAGCATATGGAGCCAGACTGTGTTGACTCCCCTGGAAAGAACTGTCACCCCAGAAGTAGCTGGCAGAATAGTTTGCCCAGAAGAGGCAGCAGCTGATCAAATACCTGGTGTTGCACTTGGATCCTCACCTTTCTACACAGTTTTGTCTTTGTTCTATGAAATAGAAATATTTAACTTGAGAGTCCCTAATAATGCTAATAATAACTTAACAGTGTATGAAAAGCCAAGAACATTTACCAATATGTACACACAAACTATATATAATTGTATTTATGAAATAAATTTAATTACAGCAGATAAACAGATGATCTACAGACATCTAGCTTAGTTAGCTCCTGGTTCACAAATGAGGAAATTCAGGTGTATATATACAGAGGCAAGTGGCTTGGGTCACTTTCTTTAAGCATGTGGTCTGTGTGACAGGATTGCCTGTTTTTATCCCATGATGACACAGCTTCCTAAGAAGTGGAAAAAAACATCCAGGCTCTTCTTTATGCATGTTCTAGGTGACAAAAGCGTCATCTTAACATTTTGCTGTTAGTATCTGAACATGCTGAGAAGACCACCGCACAGACTAAGAAAACCTATCTTATTGTAGGGCTAAGGAGTTGACATTTTTCTGCTGTTTAAAAACAACTTGCTATCTAGCAAGCAATGTAAACAACAGTATCTTCTAAAGTTACAAGTAAAGAAACTCCTACTCATGTGATACAAAACAATGTTTGGGATTTTGTCTCTTTGGAAAAAGTGTTTTCCCCCAAAACTATGTATAAAAATATTTGAGACAAGATGAAAATGTTACAAAAGAGATGTATAATGAAAATGATAAAATAGCCTTTCAGCACAAGGATGCTAGAAACAACAGAAGAGAGAGGTCACAGATCTTCCATTAGAAGTACACTAAAATGAGATGGAAAAATTGCTTTTACTTTACCTCAGGATGAGCTCATCTCTAGGTAAAACCTTAAAATCTGCTTCACTAAGGCGAACCTATGGAACAAAAGGAAAAGCACAGCTTAACAAGCTCTCATTATTACCTGGGGGGGGTAGCCACAAGTATTTTTAAACATACCTTCTTTGGGAGAGGTTCTTCATTCGTCATTGTGAACTCTGAAGAAGGGAAAAAAAAAAAGGGAGTTTTATTTAGTGTAGTTACTAGTGTACATGAAATACTGAACAAGTCAGAAGCTTGTACTTCTACAAGATTTTTTTTTTTTTTTAAATTTCCAACATTAGTCTGAAACATTGGTCCCCTAAATGCAGAAGCAAAACACCATGACAAGTTTGCCACTGTAATCTCAATACAAAGCCACATACACTTCCTAGAAGTTACTTGAAAACATTTTAGACAGCTAAAAAGCCAATTAGTAATAAATCCTTCCTATTTACCTAAGCAAAACTACCCAACTTTGTCCATATATGTTTAGATCAAACTAACATTTTATATGTGCCTTACATCTATTTACCAGTGTATTTTATGAGGTAAAGGATAATCATGGTCTGAGGAAAGCAATTAATACTGCTACTTCAGTATCTCTTTGGAATGAAAGTCCCTTGTGAACATGACCACTAATGTTTGAGTTACACCAAAGTAACATGTTCTTCCAAGTACTTTATTACCTTTAAGATTCTGATACACAGGAAGTATTACATAGTTATTTTAAAACCCTTCTGAGTGTTTTTTTTTTTTTTTTTTTTTTAAAAGTATGATGTCAGATAAATGGTTTGGATACTCCATCAAATCCAACTCCTCTTGCATGTATGAAGCCTAACAGGACTGCACTGTGCTAGGTTAAATATTCACACTTCCCTGAGTTACAGGACATGCTTCCTTACCTCAAAAGGACAGTACACAGTATTTTCTACAACTATGATTGTATCAAAAGTACTGAGTGCAAAGATTACCAGCACGAAAGTAGCAATGAACACAAAGTTTGCTAGAAGCATGCATCTTTGCAACATGCCCTCCTACAGAGAAGTTGCATGCAATATTAAGATTCAACAAGTTTGGAAAGCTGCTGCAATACACCTACACCAAGGAAAAGAAGCATAAACTGCTTGGTTGTGATCACTGAGCTCCACAAAAACAATGCTCTTATGTTAAAGAATAAATATTTCTCAAAAGGACTTTTACAGACTACCTTAGATATTTTCATAACACCTAACGAACTTGTTTAATTTGTCTAAATCCTTACGACAAAAATCCTAAAATTGTTTGCTAGTAAGAAAAACAAGTACATGTTAGATGAATTAGAGCCTCTTCAAACTACATTAACCATTGACAAGTACACTGCATTCTACCAAATAAGCCCCTGGTTTAAACCGCACACCCACCCAAATCAAACAAAAAATCTCACACCAAGTACAGCGCACCAATGAAACAACTTCTGAGCCTTACACAAAATAAAGTCTGACATTAGAACACATCGAAAGATTTCTAAAAACATTTGGTAGAAGCATTTCAGCGATGAATGGCAGCTTCCTGTTCCCAGTCTTGGTAACATACAGGCACTTAAGTGCTTCCCCAGGCTACTCCTGTGCTCCCCACCTCATCCCCTACCTCTCCTCCTTTAGCTTCTGGCTGCAGCTCATTTCACAATGTTTACCAAAAACATACCTTCCATATTTTCAAGCATAAAGGGGCTACTGATGCAAACTGCCAGTGCCCAACTCAGTTACCCAAAACAACACACACTAACTTGATGCTCATGACCTCTGTATTGAGGTTGCCTACCTTTCCCACTACAATCATCCTCACGATTTTTACAGTACTTTAACTCCTCCAGTATTTGGAAATAGTCTTGAATATCTCAACAAGCTTTATGTTCCTAACAGACAAATATGCTTTTCAGGTGTCCCACAGAACTTCAGCTAAGACCGATTAAATTGTACACAATATCATCATTCATATGTGTGTCCTCAGAAGTACCAGAAGTATTCAAACAAAAAAAAAATATATTAACTTCCCCAAACACCTGGCTCTTGGACCCCCAAGATGCATACAACAATTAGCAACACTTGATTGCTGTCACAGTAACAACTGAAAAAAATCAAAGGCTGATGCTCCATCTAAGGATAGTCTACCTCATTATCTCCAGACCTCACTCCAGGTTCCAGCACCCAGCTCTCACAACGGCACCAGATCTGGCTACTCTAACCTCGCACCCAGCACACCATTTACAGAGCCATCTCTGGCTTTCAGACAAGAGCACTGAAGTGCTCAAGACTGAGGTTACAGACCACTGCAGTTCCCATATTACTGCCATCTATTCTGATTTAAGCATACACCAAAAAAACCCACACTAGTTAAAAAATACAGGTTATTTCAGAAGAGCTAGGTTGGTCACACCTACAGATAAACACTAGTGCTCCTTATGTGTGCATTTCACCTTAATTGCGTGCAAGAGCTTTTTTTGGCACCCACGGTAACCTCCCAAAAGCTTAGAGATTTATTACTATGTACACCTACCATTGTACTTAGTGTTTTTAGAAACATTATGAGCATCAGGCTGACTACATCAGTTGTCACAGCAATTTGCCTTTGCTTTCTGTTCATTAACAGGTGAACATTAGGTTACACAATAACATTGCAATTGAAATGTTTGTTTTTTGAATTCAACACAGTAACTTTTCAAGTACTGTGCAGCAAGAGGTGCTCATCACTTGGCTCTCCTCTAAGAGAGAGGATCTCTCCTACACAGATCAGAAATATTTTGTAAGACTATCAAGTGCAATTTTCTACCATAAAAAGAATCAGCAAGAACAACATTCCTGTATAACTGACCGGAATTAACACGAATATACTTCGTGATTGATACGATCAACAGCTGAACTGCACTACCCTAACGAAGCACTTTCATGATTTTGGGGAAATACAGCTGCTATGTACCACTCCTTCTACACATCTGCTCCTGGCAACAAACAGTATAAAACCATATTGCATGCTTAAAATAACATTGCCATATGCCCTGAAAGAATTTTTATGTGATCTCATCATGTTTTAGGCTTTTTAACATTTCAAATATGAAGAGAGATGAAATGGGTAAGGTACATTTTAATTCTGGGGACTGCAGTAGTCCGTACACCTTTTACTACTGCGTTTAGAAAACGTGGGATTTAAGGATTTTAAAAGAAAATGAAATCATTAAGTAAGATCAGGTATGCTACTTTACTAGCTACACCTGAACTAACTGCTAGTTATTTAACGATATGAAAGCTCCTCGGGGAAAACGTCCGCATAGGCTATGCGAAATAAAAAAAAAAACAACCACCTGCAAAATAACACTGTGACCGGGCAGCCTTCAGCCTTCACCCTCGCCTCAGCCGCCGTGGTCTGCTGAGAAGCCGGG